CATCCACTGGTTACAGATGGGGCAGTGCTGACTGATATGTTCTCCCATGGCCTTCAGGTGATAGCTGACTTTCTCCCATCCATCGTGCACAGACTCAGAGATTTGGTTGTCCCAGTACACTGCTGGGCGATTCCCTGACGGCTCAGGCGGTAGTAACTCCCCTGCATCCGGATAGAGTGCACTGCACGATCTGGTAAAGATATGAACCTTTAAGTCATCCCATGAATTGCAGGAGCGATGGCAGTGCCGACAGAGGCAGAGCCCTTGCGAGGAGTGTAACCACACAAACCTCGTCTGTGGATCCGCCCCCTGCATTTCCGTAGGCATTGCTAACTGCATGGAGGCATCCTCCGCATGAGCCTGATGTGCCGGGGCTTGTCTGGATCGGCACTGAGAGGTTTGTGCTCAAGAAACTCTGTAGCTGGGGCCGTCACCTCCTGCGCCTCCTCTTCAACCTCCCTGCTCGGAGGTGTTAAGGTGTGCGCTGCCCTCTCGTGGACCCTGAGTGCTCCCAGTGAACCGAAGGTCCGTTGGCAGTGGCGACACAGCAGCTCCCTAGGGGCATGAGCTCGTCTATCTGCCTCAAGGCCTTGCGCCGGGGAACAATCAGGAAAATTGGAGGGGGCTTCGTCAGAGTCAGCGGAGGAGTACCGAAAGGTGAGCTGTAGCACCTCCAGCCAGGGTGCGATGCCTGGTCTGTCCAGGAAGAGTTGCGGCCTGGTTTGGGTGCTCATTTGCTGTTGACATAACACAGACCAGGGTCGTCTACCTTGAGGCGCTGAAGGATCTCTGCTGAGGGGACGTGCCACAGGTGGGCTGGGGAGCGGGCTATCATACGTAGCTGCCTGTTGACTGCTTGGCGGATGAGAAGTGGGCCTTGCGATGGCAGACCTACACTATGGAGGGAGTATCTGAGTACTGAGAAAACACAAACCTTCCATAACCGGACCTTGGTGCCTAGACCCAGTGCTCTGGACTTGAAAATGTGGTGCAGGCGCCAGAAGCTACCCCATGCAACATCCAGTCTGTGCCGAAGGTTCAAGAGTTCAAATCCCTTATAAGCCAGCTTGGCACCTAGATAGCGGTGCGTGGTGACAATCTTGAAGGGAAGCCTAGACTGACCAACCGGTATGACTAGATGGGGCACATCCTCAATGTACTGACGGTGCTTGGCCAGAACAGACGGCGCACTGGTGCCCCCCAGTGCGAGCAGGATGACAGTCTTCTCCATACTGAGCTGGAGACCTGCTTTCTGTAGGGTGGCGACTAGCACGCCGATGGCTCTTATGGCCCTGGCGAAGGCTAGGGAGTCCTTGACCAACCAGCTTCCGAAGAAGTCATCTGCGAAAATGTTGATAAGGCCCTCTGGGAGAGACTGTTCTCGTAGCTCTGCCTGAAACATGCGGTACACCTTCCCTGTGATCAAAGCCCAGAGCAGTGGTGAAAGTGAGCACCCCTGTCGGACTCCCGTTCCTAGGTACACATCGGCCGAATCAGCTTGTCTGCCCACCTGCAGACATGCACGTTCATGGAGATGCATCACCAGGTTGATTTCCTGTGGCTCAAACCCAGCTTCTATCATCGAGTCTTTGAGGAAATCATGCGGCAAACTATCAAAGGCCTTTTTGATGTCCAAGCTGATCGACAAACCACCCACTAGCTTATGCGGTTGGCCTCCTTGGAACCTCTGAGGCAGAGAAGAGGAGCCACTTGCAATGAGATTCCGAACCTGGAGGAAGTGCGAGCACACGGATTCAAGTGCATCCGCTGTTGAGCGGCCCTTGAGGTACGCCCATTGTGGCACCTCCCGAAGATAGCTCTCTATTTTGGGTTCCACTTTATGGGCCAGCATGATTGCAAGAAGCTTGTTTCCTGGATGAAGTAGAGCTATAGGCCTCAGATTTTTGGGCTCCCTCACAGTAGGGACTTTAGGGATGAGGTGTAGCTGAACTTTATGCCAGTCTTCGTGGAGTGCCGAGGAGCACAGGTTCACTGCTGGCAGGAGGGCGGAGACTACCTGATCTGCTGCCAACTTCCATAAACGGGCTGGGGCAAAACCAGCTGGTAGTGCTTTACCCGCACTGATCTTTGCCAGAGCGATTGTCAAGTCTTCGGAAGAGAAATGTACTCCAGTTATGCCAGAGGCTGGGGGCAGCTGGGAAATGTCTCGGCTGTGGTACACTCCTCTCAAGAAGTCTGCTATGTGCTCCGATTCGTCCTTTCCAGCTAGGAGCAAACCCTGATCATTTCTGAGCTGTATCCTCATGGTTCTGGATTTGGGGGCTAGTCGCCTAACGACAGAGAACAGAGTGCAGGGATACGGTGAGGCCTCCGCTTCCTGGAGCAATGTTTCCACCTTCTCACGCTTGCGATCCCTACAGGCCTTGCGGAGTTGTCTCTGAATTCTGGACAGTTTGGCAGCTAAAAGCCAGCCCCGTATAACAGAGTGAGTTCCGGGCGGCAGGGACCTCTGTCGACGTAGTGCCCAAAGTTGTCGCACTAGTCCAACCTCTCTGCGTGGAGAATCACACGGAGGCGGAGACGAGGGATTCTCTTTGGGGCTGACATCCTTCCAGGCTTGCAGAATTACTCGGTTGAGCACCCATGCAGGGTCGCCTTGTATGGCAGCTGATGGAGGCATGATCTGGCTCATTCTGGCTTGAAATTGCGCCGCAAGATCTGGCTGACCTTGTAGGTGTTGCATAACCTCCTTGGCCCCTACGGAGGGTTGCCCGGCACGGCGCTGCCTGGGCGGCTGAGGCTTCGGCAGGGAGGCAAGGATCGGAAAGTGTCGCATGCCCTTGTCCGGCACGAATGGAGCCCGTATCGTGCGAGCTCCTTTGGCGAGGGGGTCACCATGGTGGGCTCTGCACAGAATGAAGTCGATTTGGGTACGATGCTGACCCCCTGCATGATCAAATTGGTATGTGTGGCTGTAGCTTCTCCGACCCCATGTGTTCAAGGCCACTAAGTTGTGGCTCACAATGAGCTGCTGAAGCCTGTGTTGGTCCTTTTGTCTAACAGCCCCTGTGATAGAAGCTAGTCCGGTGCCTACATGAGGGGCCTGCTCCTGGCAGGGGGTGTTGAAGTCACCAGCCAGCACCAGCTGGCAGCGCCACGGGGTTCCTCGCACCAGTTCGTTCAGACGGGTCCAGAAGACTTCACGGTCTGCCTCGCATTCTACGGCTCCTTTCACTTCCGACCATACATGCTGGTATGTGCCTATGATGCAGATTGCCGGGGAGGTTTCCAGCCGCACCAGGATAAGGCGCCCCGGGATAGGAGCAGTGATTCTGATGGACGACGAGGAAACCATGCTCTTATGTATCATAACCAGGATACCAGCCTTCCTATTGCTGAGCCCTGCATGGATCATATGATAGTGGGAAGTCATCCACTCCGAGTCAAAGGACCAATGAGTCTCAGTGAGGATGCAAGCATGAATGGTGGTTCCGGCTTGGTGACACGCATCCAGCCATGTCTCTATTTCCATCATGCGAGTCGTGCTCAGTCCTCCGGTATTCCACGTAAGGATGCGCCACCTGTCAGAGTGCTGTTGCAGCGGGCCGGGCCTTCTTATGGTTTTGGGTGACCGCGGGGGGTGGCTACTGGGCTCTGACAGCCTATCTGCGCCTAAGGTCTGAAGGGTGTGTGGGCGGCCACGGTAAGTGGTAACTCCATGCTGTTGGGCTCGCCTGAGTGCCCTGTGGAAGGATCGTTTGCCAGTTTTGGTAAGCTTATCATATGTAGTCGGGCGGATGGGGTTGGAATGCCTTTGTTGTGTGGCATCTCCGCGAGGCTTCTCTGAGATGATAAGATTGTTTTGCGGGGAACAAGCCCGGCTGAAACATGACCAGTCTAGCTGTGATGCCGTCCATAGCAGGCGCCTGCTGGCGTCCCGGACTAGCACTGGGCGCCTTCTAAAGAATCTAGGCCCCCAGCAGCAGGAGAGAGGTCTGCTGCTCATCATCATTGCAGCAGCGGGCCGGGTCCGATTGCGGTACCTGGCTCTGACTGGGCTTAGGGTCCACGGGACTTTGATGGCAGACGGTTGTTGGCATCCTCAAAGGCACCAGACATGCAGGCATGCTGTCCAACCACTCTAACCTCTCTATGCGTGCGAAGACGTGTGGATAATCCACAGTCGTCGGAGGCAGTTTTTCCTCGGATCCCGGGCATTGGCAGTCCCTAACGTTCTCTTGCTCCAGAAGATGCGGGGCCTTACTTGGCCTCGGCACCAGGCTCCCAGGTCTCCGATGCGGTGTAGAGGACCCTCGCGTTCGAAAGGACACATCCGGGCGATCATTGACTGAGAGCGCCCTCATCCTCCTCTGTTGTGGGGGACTCCGCAATGGGTTGGGCATGCTGCTGCGAAGTGCCTGGAGGACAACCTCCGGGTACTCACGACTATGCGGGACACGACCAAGTAGTTGGCCCACAGGCGTGCCTGGTACCGTCTGCCTTGGAGGAGCAACGGGAGAGGGAGACCAAAGCCTCTCGTCATCTGTGACTTCCGGAGGGGGATCCGCAACGGGGCTGCACATAATATCATTCCCCAGTGCACTTACATCTTCCTCGTTATGGTCCGGCGTGGTAGCTGGTGCCCGCTCTTGGTCCAAGTCTGGTGTTGGTGCTAACCAGGCCTCATCGTCAGAATGGTGTCGAAGGTCTGCATCTGGGGAGTTTAAGATTCCTTCTGAGTCCGACGAACTGGCCATGCGGTGAACCTTCAGACTACAGGCTTGTGGTGCAGTAGGAACGGTCCTGCCCGGGTTGTTGAGTGGCGAAGGTGGCTGTGCAAGGCTATGAGAGGCTTGGCTGTTGTTCAAGTGACAGTGGCTGATTGCATACTTTGCCTGGCCTGGCTGATTGAGCTGTCTGGGAACAGGAAGCGCGGCGGCATGGGCAAACTGATGACTCTGCCAAATGAAAACATCTGAACTGCCCGTGCGCTCTGACAGTGAGGAGGGAAGGCAACCCGAGCACCACAACCTGCGGCCTACCATGTTGACACTGCTTGCGGCATACAAACCCTCAGCGGGGAGGCGCACTGTAGCAGGCTCCGGAGGGGCACCTCCGCTGCAGCGAGGGCGGCAGGTCCTGCTCTGATTCAGCTTTGTAACTAAGCCACACTGACTATGGTGCCGTGGATACAAGGTCAGATCGGGACGGAGTTTGGGCCTTAAGACTGTGTACAGGAGGTTTCCCCCAACGTCGACCCAAGACCCTGACCCCCATGGAACCCATGTACTCCAGCTCGCTGCCACTGGGATCATACTCCTCATACACAGAGGCTTGATGCCTCTCCGGAGGACTGACCTCCATTACCGGCGTGACGTCTGTTGCGCCGCTGCCTTCTGACACTGGCCCTGGGACTCCGCTGCTTGAAGGATCCACCAGCTTCCAGGACTTGGAACTTGAGCGCTCTCGACGCTTCTTTGCTTTCTTGTCTTTCTTCTTGTCCTTTTTGGTCTTGGCTTTGTCCTTCTCAGCCTTGTGCTTCTTGGTCTTCTTGTGATCCGTCCTGGTGTGAACTGCTTCTGTGTCTCCAGCAGGCCTGTGCATCTGAGCTTGTTGCGGCGCGAAAGGACTCTCAGCAGGATCTACCACCCTGGGGGTCGGCGCAGAAGGCTTGGTTCGGGGGTCACGCGGCGGGGACAATTCCGCAGCCCTCTCTGCCAGGATTGGCCGTCCCGGAGGTGGAGGTGCACGCCCCCTCGGCGGATTGTCTAGCGCTTTCTCGGCCCACTGCGGCATCATCGGGAGAGGGCCATCGTCCATGAACCATATGCTTTTGCGTGACCCGGCCTTCTTGACCTCCGGGGCATCCTTCGAGGTCTCCTCCTTGTCCATTGCCTTGACTGTAGCAGCCGGTGCCGGTGCCGCAGCCGATGACGCACCATCCGGTAAGGCACCCCTTGAGCGCTTGCGCGGTGGCTCAATCTCTGCTGCCTTTGTCTCCTCGTCCTTCTTCCGCTTTGGCTCTTTGGTCTTCTGAGCTAGAAGTCGTCCTATGGAGCCTTTAGGCATGCGGGGCACCCGGAGAGGCTTGGGAGCAGCATCTTCCTCCGCAGCACTAATCGTCGCACCGGAGGGGGCAGGAGCCGAAGGCTGGGCTCCCTCCCGAAGGCGATCCCTCGCCCGTATCTTCGGCTTGGGCGGCAAGGTAGGTAGGCGGAGGATCTCCTTCTGGACTGAGGAGCTACCTCCGATCTGCTTCCCGGCTCGGTGTGGCCCATCTGTTCCGTGGCTTTGGCCGAACTGGCCGTAGAGCTTTCAGGAGCTGTCGTACTCTCCACCGCCGAGTCGCCATTGCCTGCACCTGCCACTAGCTCCGGCGGAGTGCACGGGGCAGCGCCAAGTAGTTCCGGCGGGGTGATCGGTGTGCGAGCATCGGTTGGTGGCGTCCTGGGAGATGGGATTCTATATCCCGGTGGGGGAGTGTCCGGCTCTCTGGGGCGTAGGTGCCCATGAGGCGTGGACCCTGTTGAGTACTCTCCTCCTGGTCCTCGTCCGGAGGGTCTGCTCTCCCAAGAGGTGGCCCCCCATGAGGTGTCTCCATACCAATCATCATTGCGCCAGCCTTTGCCCTGTGCTCCAGTGGAGGACCCTTTGCGCCCCTTGGAACCTCTGTAGCCTCCGCGCCCTCTTGCGCCTTTGCCTCGCCCAGCCTTGCCGTACCACTGTCCTGTAGCTTTGAGATGCTGCCTGGTGTACTTGTCCGGCCTGGCAGCCTCACGCAAGTAGTCCCGTTGCGTCTTCTCACGCACCATGCGTGAGGGACTCGCAAGGAGCCAGCACGGCCATGTGGAGGCCAACTCAGAACTCTGCTGGGTAGATCCCACAAAAGGCCACGGATGGCAGAGAGTGCAGTAAGGACGGCTGAGTGGGTTGCAGACAATGCAATCGCTCATGTACGCTCTATATGCTGACCTATCTTCCGTCCGCAGGTGCGGGGGTGTATGCTTAAGGTTTAGAGTGGAGAGCGACCTAGTGGCAGTTAGAGGATCCTTTGCGTGGCAAAGTACTTGAAAAGCCCCCCATTGTCCTGCCGTTGCAAGAGAAGGCTGTGCCAGCCGCGGCAGACGGAGGCAAGCCTGGCATGTCTGCAGGTAGGGTTGACACAACAACGGAGGGGAACCTCTCGCCGTG